GACGTCATAAAATACGGATAAGTGCAGCACTTGGTATTATTTTTCCATTTTTATAGCCAGTATTCACTCACTCACATACACACACACAAGTATATCATCATAGTGTTCCGTTACCCTGCAGAAAAGATGTGAGACACTCTGGCAAAGCGTTAGTTTTGCAGTTCACATTTCGTAACTATCTCCAAGTTACTGAAGAACGGATGTATGTACAGTTAGGCAGTTGGACTGAGCGTTTTGTTAACTTCGTTGCCTTCGAAGGTTGTTGGTAATGCAGTTAAAATATTCAGTAATTCAGCTGTGAGGAATTGTGGAAATTCTGGCATTTTTCAATTCATTTCAAGGGGCAATACTTTGTTAAATACCAGCTTATGAGATGGTAACAAAATCGACCGGTTAAAAGAGTACACAGAATGCGAAAAGGGTTTAAAAACAGGACAGGAATTTTATTTACCGGTTACACAATTTTTATTACCAGCGCAGAATGGATCTGTGAAACTGCGAAAGCTGAGTATTAGATGCACGAATTCTCACTTCTGCAAAAATTTAATTTTGGCCTCCTAGACCGCGGTAAATTGCCGCTTCCGTCGCAGTCTTGCTGCATGAAAAATATTTTTGCTACCAAAATTCTATCAAAAGTTAGAGAGCAATCGTTTTGAACAAAAGAAAGGCAAGGTTAAACAATGCTTTGTTTCTATGTGCCGTTCATGAAGGGTTCGATTAATCGTGATGAAAATTGTATCACATTCGATCGAAAAATTATGGCCCCAGAAAGAGGAAGCCTCATAAACGGTGGCAAAACCAAGATTGATTACACAGGTCTGCAAAAAAATGGGTTCGGAATGTTCTATAAAAGTGTAGTGTCATTTCCGAAGTAATTTTTTGCGTAGAATCCGAATCCGGGGCTTAAATTGCTCTATCACGTCAGGACTTTGAGATATCCTAACCTAAAAGTGCAAAAAACGCTGTTTTTGCCCATTTTTTGAGGTTATGTAGCTACGAAGATTTTGCTCTTCATGCTTCTTCTTAATTTTTCACTGAGATATCGCATTTTGAAGTCTCCATGTTTGTGAATGTAATCGACCGTATCACGTCTCATGTTATCTCAATGGATTTTCGAATATCGAAAAATTCACAAACATGGAAACTTCAAAATGCGATATCTCAGTGAAAAATAAAGATATTTAAGCAAACTCATTTAAAAGAAGAAGACTTATACTTTAAAATACCACGTTTACTTTTTTATGAAGAGCAAAATCTGCGTAGCTACATAACCTCAAAAATGGGCAAAAACAGCGTTTTTGCACTTTTAGGTTAGGATATCTCAAAATCCTGACGTGATAGAGCAATTTAAACCCCGGATTCGGATTCTACGCAAACAATTACTTCGAAAATGACCCTACACTTTCCTAGAACAAAACGTTGTTGACCTGTGTTATCAGCCAAATTCCATATCATCCCGGAAGTTTTCTCTCAGCGGATTTGCATTCTACCGAGAGTAAATCGTGTAAATATAAACTCCTCGGGAAAAGATTTGTGCCTGAAATTATGAGAAAATGTGACCGGTGCGACTAGAATGCAACTCCTTTTGATAAAGCGCTATCTCCTGGCCTGACCTATTCAACCCTGTACTGTAAAAAATCATTTCGATCAATAAACAAATCGACCAGAATTTATTAGCATTTGATTTTGAAGTTTTTTTTTGCATTTACAATGAACTAAGACCCAGTTCCACTTGTTTCATATCCTTTGCGGTCGCTGTAGAATTCTTTTCTTGGTGCTGAATTGACTTCAAAAAATCTAATTGAAATAATTTGAAATAGTTCAGTGGAAGCCATTAAGGCTTCTGCAGAAGCTTCAGAAATGACGAAGACCCAGAAACCCTGCAGTACTTTTTATGCGAATATCCCGTACTCTATAGAAAAGGAAGATTAATGGGTTGAGAATTTGTTGAGGACTTTTCCAAAATGGCTACAGTAGTAATACAACAACCATTAGGTTTCACAGACGCCTCACGATGTGTTGTGTAGGAGGGCTTCAGGTTCCGCGTGCTTTTACAATGGTCCCAAAAATATGCGCCTGGATGGGCTGCTGCGGTCACTGGTCGCCACATCAATTCAACTTAATGTAGCCATATTCCGTCGCTAGGAATAGAAAAAATAAAAAATAAATAAAGATGTTTAGTTAAAATAAAATACTTACATTCATAAAAAAAAATATCGGCCAGTTCCTAGAACCGGACACAAGACCTCCATAATTGAACGTCAGTGGCCTATGATGTCAGTGGAACATGGAAAAAGGACAGTTGAAAGAATTACACTTAAGTTCCCTTTTTAATGTGAACAAAGAACGTATAATGTTGGCGATAGTTATAAACTAGCACGATATGCTGCTGGGCATTCATGTACATTAGGATGGTCCTTAAAAAATCAAATAAAAGACCTTTTTCAGTCTCACCCCTTCAATCGGTAACACCACTGTCATAGACATTACATATAAATTTTGGTCACCATTGGAGTCTTCTACAGGGGGCAAAGCTCAGAATACCCTATGACGACGTCTTAATCGACTTCAATCATTTATATGTTTTTGGATATTGTAAGAAAAAAATTAATTTAAATTTTTTGAGTCTCCATAGAGGAGTGCGAACTTTGCCCCCTGTGCGATACGTCTTAACCGTCTCCAATCGGGACTAAAATGTATGTAGGGGTTGAGGTTTATGAAATCCGATGTAAAAATTTGCTCCATACATTTAAGGACCACCCTAATGCACATAAATACATATGTGTAACAGGAGTAAATGCGTGTGTGTGTGTGTGTGTGTGTGTTAATATCAAATGAGAAGATTGTCCCCCTTTTATGAGATTTATATTTTTGTAACACATTGTTATTGTTGGAGCTTTAGCACTATGTGTGCTAAGTTGTCATAAAATTTGAAATGTGTGTTTTCGAGTGCAATGGACTGAGCAAGAAGCTATTTTTACCTGTCGAATGCACACCAAATTCGTTTTTATTACTTCAGCTTAGTTTCTGAGTATACATAAATTGGAAACGAGGTGATTTGAGTTTTTGACTTTTTTGTGCATACATATGTAAGTATACTTATACAAGTTGGGCTAATAAAAAATTTTCGTAATGGAAATTTCGTATGCTTAAGCCTTTTATAAATTTGCACTTTGGCCAATAAAATATACACTAGCATATATAAAAATATACATACATACATATGTTCGAGTATATGCATGTATGCTTAATGAACTACGACATGGAAACAGTTAAGTAATGGTGGCCGTCATTTGATTTGTAGATAGTAGCGTTAAATAGAAGTTGTTTTTTTTTTAACAAGGCTGGGCGCGATTAGGAAAATATAAAGTTATTTACAACTTAGCGTTATTCGGCTTGTATTTAAGAAGTAAGGCTTCTAAAAATTAAATTATATAAAAAAGATATATCTTTCTTTTTTAAACAACTAAAACTAAAACTTAAAGGAAAATTAATTTAAAAAATTATTAAAAAAGAAGTAAATTAAGAAAATAATTTTCTAAAAATTAAATTAAATAAATAAAAAATTTCATTTTTGAATATAACATCTAAAAATTTAAAGAAAATTAAATAAAAAAGGAAAAAAATACTTCATAAAAACTACAAATCGACGGCTGAATGGAAGATCGCTATTCATTAAAAACCACAAATTCTAAAATAATTAAAAAAAAACAAGTTAAAAAGAGGTTTCCAAAGATTAAATCAAATTTAAAAATATTTATAAACAAGAAAGTATATTTTACTTTTAAAAACAATGAAAGCCAAAATGTAAGAGGAACTTATATCAAAAGAAGAAAAATTTATTAAAGGAAAGAAAATAGTTGAATAGAAAAGAAAAAATAAAAAAAAAATCTGAAAAGTAAAGGAAAATTAAATTAAGAATGAAAAAACAACCAAACAAATTATTAAAGAAAACAAAAAGTAAAAACGCAATAAGTTAAATTAAAAAGAAAAAATAAATAAATTATTTTTCTTAAAAAAAAAATTAAAAAAAAAAATATAATTAAATTAGAAGGAAGTATTTATATTTTTAAAATAATAAATTCTATGAATTAAAAAAAAATAAAATTATGAAAAATTAAAAATAAGAAAAATACATAAATAAGATCCTAAAAATTAAATTACAATTAAATAAATATGGTTTTCTTTTTAAATTAGTAAAGCATAAAAATTTAATTAAAAATAATAATTCCGCTTCCCGAGTATTCAAACCTCGGTTCTCTCGAATGGCACGCCAGTACTTTGCTCACTCGATCATTGTGACTGTTGGTGCAGCGCGAACAAAATGATATACATACATACATTTCCATTTGGAATATGCAGAAGTGCTTTCTGTCAAAAGAGCTTTTCACCATCAAAGTTGCCAAGAAGCTCCCTGGTAAGACTTTCTTGCCAGAATAAGCAAACTCTTTTAAACTATCTTGCCAACTGTCTTTCGATTGTCCTACAGAGGACTTGCAGCTTAGCGAGAGTTTCGCTGTAAATTTACATAAACGTCTCTTTAAAAATACTTAAATTCAAAACCACTTCAATTTAAAAGTGATTGAAGTGTATATCAATAACTCTACAAAAACAAATTCAAATACAATGATGCCCAAAGCTATAATGAAAACTAGTCAACTTTTTTGCATTCAAAGTATTTCGATTTTTCTTAGGAAATGAAATCCAAACCACAATAGGTTGCGAGTGGGAGAGAGAGAGATGGCGTGGGTGTAATTTTCTGTCATTAAAATGGCAGCGTTTCACTAGAAAAAAAAAATAAACGTTCACTTGAAAAAATATGCTGTGCTTTCACTCACCCACAATTACATATTACATATACATATTCTTACACACGCAATTAGTTATATATGTAAGTAATTTCACAGCACTTACTATTTCTACTTAAAATTCTACCAAAGACGTAATTTACTGTATTCATTCGTTTTCATTTTGTTTTTCATTCTTCCTTTTTTGCATAGCTGTCGAGCAGCGATACCAGTTCCAGTTCACGTGACATCAGCAGCAATAAAGGCGCGAAGTTTCTGCTGCGAAAAGGCAAATCAAAGCGAAACAGCAAAGGTGAGTGCTATGAAAATATGTACACTGAAGTACATACATACATACACATATATGTATGTATGCATTTAAATACTGCACTTAAAAATACAGCTATGTACTCATACATACTTATCTATGCGTACTTAAATATATACACATATAAAATCACGCAAATTGTGAAAGAAAAGCTTTGCATCAAAAGGTAATTGCAGCAATTTACAAAGCTTTAAGGCTTAGCAGAAAAACAAAATCGTACGAAAAGTGCAAAGCGATTACAAGCAAAATAAAAACAAAACAAAAGGAAAAAAATTAGTGCACTAAAAGTGTGCATTAAATGCAAAAAGGGAAAGAAGAGAAGTCTCTCCAACATTACATGCGAACGTTGTTATTTTTTTAATTTGTACTTAAGTCGCTTTAATTAGTTGCAATACGCTATTTACCTTTTATGTATTTAAAAATACAAACAAACATCTCCAGCTACAAGTACTGAACTCTGCGGGGTTTTTTTTAACGTTTTTTCCCCATTCCACACCATGCTCACACTTTTCACCAACTCATTTACAGATAAAAAGTCCGAAACGCCTGCAGTGCAATCGAAAGTACAACAAGTACAACAAGAACAACAAGAACAACACGAAACACCTTCCATTAAATGCGTTCTGGTTGGCGATGGTGCTGTGGGAAAGACTAATTTGATTTTATCTTATCTCAAGAATCGTTTCAATTCGGAGCACGTGCCGACAGCATCGGATATATATAACGGTAAGTGTACGAACCAATTGTGTTTTTAAATCAGTGTTCAACGTTTTCGAACTGGACTCTTTCGTTGGTTATTTTAAAGTTACGTATACGCCATGTATGTTTCATTTACTTGAATATTTAGTTGAGCAGAAGGGATACTTTTACTGTACATTAATGTGATTGAGGGTTAAATTTACTAGTTCTTCATGTTTTCATGTTAGGGTCGGGATAAGAAATGAAATGAATTTCCGTGGCAATATACAACAAATACAAACTAAATTTGACAATGAATAACGAAAATTACTTTCAAAATATAGCGTACAATTTATTTTTATAACTACAGCATAATTTCAAATTTGAATAATTTGAGTTGCATGGGTGGTAAGTTGAGAAAGTCAGTTAGTCAATTGCATAACTGGTTGCAGTAGAACATAGGATACTGTGACCTAAAAGATCTTTTGTATGCCTTCCTAATAGATTCAATGGTAGGTCAATTCCTTATTATAACTGGTTTGACCACCGATGCTCTCTAATGGTCCTTAAGTGGCTAAGACAGGAGTGCCATCTGCCCGTTGGAAGGTCCATAAGTACTGGCGCTGTCTTTCAAACTGAAACCTTATTTACATCAATGTATCAGCGATGAAACGCTGGGGGGTCAGTTTGACCAGTTTCCGCGAAGTGCGATTTTCGTCACTTTGAACTTTCTGCCAAAGCAAAAATCTTGGAAAATTTAATAACAAAGTCTGAATTTGAGATCAGATCACCTCTTGTACCGAAAAGCCTACTGCAGACCCACATGGCACAATGGTTCAAAAGTGGCATTTGTGGTTCATAATTCACTGGAGGCTAAATTTTTCACTCAATTTGATAATTTTTTTTTGTGAAAGCTTATAAAATTTTTAAGAGACCGAGAGCACGATTTTTGCATTTTCATTTCCTTGTATTACGTTTTTTCGTGTAAAATGCAGCAAAAGTAGCAGTTTTGAAGAAAATCGATTCTCCTGTTCCAGTTAATAAATGTAACATAATAAAAGCTAGTTGAAAACAATTGTAGGGTTACCCCAAAACGCAAAAAATTCCCCCAAAAAAATTTTAAACATGTATTTAAAAAAAATATATCCGCCAAATGAAACTTTTTTTTTGGTTCTTAGAAGAATTTAGGGTATGCAGTTTTAGAGGCATTTAGGTATAATTTAGAAATTTTTTTTCTTAAAATGAAAAAAAAAATATAAAAATTTTGGTGAAATTTTTTTTATAACATTTAAAATTTTTTTTTAATTTTTTTTCGTTTTGGGGGAACCCTGCAATTGTGTTCGACTAGTTTTTATTATGCAACATTTATTAACGACTAACAGGAGAATAGGTTTTCTTCAAAATTGCTACTTTTTCTGCAATTGGCACTAAAAAATGTAATACAAGGAAACGAAAACGCGAAAATCGGACTCAGCTGGTCTCTTGCTAATTTTATAAGCTATCATAAAAAAAATTCAATTTGGTTAAAAATTAAGGCTCCAGTGGATTATGATTATACAATCGGGATTGATCAAGTTTGTTTAGATGTATGTGCCTTATTGTAAACGGAACAAGAACACCCTGGTGCATATTTAATTGCTAAGTTATCTGTGTAGTTTAGGTCGATGTGCCAGTCAGTTGAAATGACCAACACACTTACACCTTGTAGGTGCATTGTGATACCACTGTGAGACACGGGAGACGCAGAGGCTACTTTCCATGCTACCATTTTGAATCTCTTATGAAGCGCAGGGGATTGGTTTATACCCACACTGGATAGTTCCGTAAGAGACCCAAAGAAGTGTTTCGCAGATGCAACAAACAGTTTTTTGATAGACTGAAAAGCTCGTTCGTAATTTTTATTTTCTTATCGGCTTGCGGCCATTGCAGTTCACTTGCTATGTTATTTCTAATCCTTAATTTTCAGTTTGCTATGGTTATCTCAATTTTACTCGTACCTCTATTTTTACACAGTGGAAGATTGGTACCTTTCTTGGCTAGCCCATCAGCCTTGAAATTTCCTTCAATACCTCTATGCCCTGGGACCAACATTGGGCTGGAATTGAATTCGATACTGATATCACTTAGAGCTGCCAAGCAATCCTATACAACCTCTGATCTTAGCATTAAAATTTGCATTTATTTGATAACCACCTAGCTATCCGAGAAGATATTAATCGTAGTCTTCGTTAGGGCATGTCTTTCAAGGTAAACAACCACCTCCTTTTTAGCTAGAACTTCTGCCAGATAAACGCTGCAGTAATCCGGAGTTCGAACGTATATTTGCTGTCCGTATTCGTTAGAGAAAACTTCGTAGCGTACCTTATTGTCTAGCTTGGATCCATCCGTGTAAAAATGGTATTCCACTCTCTTCTTGACAATATTTTCTTCCAAAAGAGCCTATAAAAGGTGGGCTTAGTGGCGGAGAAGTTTATTCTGATTCCTATACTCTCTGTCCAGGTGCTATGTGTGACCATATTAGAACGCAGAATATGCATTAGGATATTTGGATTATTGCATTTAACGACAATTGCCAGGTCGTGCCTCCTCTTTTTTCTAGCGTCATTTTGGAATCGTACCCTCAAGGTAGAACCATAGGCATTATTATTGAACATCCCTTCATTAACGAAGAAGGCTCACAAAGCAATCTCTTATGTTCCTAAAATGCTTTCAACCAGGGGATGGCGCTCGAAGTGTCACATCCTTCGCTCTGCTATACCAACCAAACGGTTATTGGCAAGTCGATAATTTTTTGAAAGCGTTAAGTCCGTCATGTTGTGTACAAGCCATGCAGATATGCTTGAAAAGTAGTTATATGAGACATCCACCGTCTTGATACAAAATAACATCAGATCACATTCCTGCAGCATGTGAAGCATTATCGGATAGACTCGATGCTACTATGCGCGCTACAAGTGGGTAGATGGAATAGTAATACACTTTTTGACTTACACGAAATTATAGCATTTTTAATTGGTAGTACTTAGAGCGTACTGTATATTTGGGCTTATTTCTTAGCATAAGAATCCGAGCTCTATCCAGAAGCTTAATTAGGTTGAGGACCTTTTTTAACAAACATAAATACTTAACAGCTCCGAAAGAGGAACTTCAATTAAATTTAACCCAATTTTTCACAATGAAGTACCTTAACAATATTTTAACCATTTTTGCGCCTATTAAATGCGAGTTATCTAAATGGTTGTTTTGAGAAGTGAAGCTAATTTTTTTTTGTTGTACAATAGCCTTAGTTCTAGCAAGTTTTAAGCAATAACGTTCTCTATTAAAATTTTTGCAGATACGCAAACGCTCACAACCACATAGAGATATGTAGATACTTTGTTTACGTGACAATTTTTTTCATTTCCTTTCCGTACTTTTGTGCTACTCAGTTTGTGCCCTACTTTTGCGCTGTGTATTTCCTGCCTAGGCATATTCCATTTCCCAGCAATGGCAGTATTTTTATGAATGAAAAATTGAAAAGCACATCATTCATATGTGCATACATATATACGTACATATGTAGACGAAGATGCAGTGCTACGCTAATATACGGACTTGCTGATATTTACAAAATGAACAAGTTACTAGCTGTAGGACTAATATACAGGCATACATACATATATACGAGTATGTGCTTACAGTTAAACTATCTTACTCACAACGGACTAGCTTAGCCATAGCCTGCCATGTTGACAGCTTTGTTGTAGTGCAGACTTTCGTATCGAAAGTTATAACTCAAACACCATTTATTTTGCTGCATATGTATGCATGTATGTATGTATACATAACATGTATACATTTCCATATACATACATACATACGTACACATCCAGCCGACAGCAACTACCTACCGTTATTGCAAGTGATTGAATTATGATGTGCTCACATATCACAGCGCTGCAAGGCTGTCGCTTGGCAGGCTCACCAATGTCTGTCCCCATACTCCTATCTAGCTGCCATCCACCATGCCATGCATAACCACAATTGCATTGCGTATGGCAGCGCTTAAAGCCAGTTTGCTTTCTGTTATGGAAATTTATAGCCCACACCGTAAAGTAGCTTCACGCATTTAGTGTGTCAACGCGCGATGTAGCATATCTGCTGTGTGTGTGTTTTTTCGCTATTAAATTTGTGTGTGCCCAAGTATGTATTTGTGATGTGCCTTTTGTTTAGAGCAGCCGCTTGAAATGTGTGCCATGCACACAAAATCAGCCCATTGGCTCTCATTTACTCCTCTACTACACATACACACACGGATACTCGCTACTTAATACCAACTTTAAGCCAATAAGTACCCTGTAGGGAAGTCAGAACATATGAGTGAAAATTCTTTCGTGGGTTTCGTCATCTGTGAAATAAAACGGAAATAGTTAGTTGTGTAGAAATCTTTTTAATAAAAGTTTTTCTTTGCAAACTTAAGAAATTGAGTAAAATAAATAAGTGAGTAGCGTAATAACCAAATAAAAAAACTTATAAATAAATAAATAGCACCATAACGTCAAGAATTTTGTCTAACCCTCCAAAAAAACCCTTCGCAGATGCCCTAAACCAACATAAAAGGCTTTGCATGAGATCATTCAGAGCTAAAATAACTCTAAGGGCCGTTTTCTCAAGTAGGTTTTAAAATTTATCTGCCCATTAGACACAAATTTTGTTCAGAAAAAATGTGTTTAACAGACAGATAAAGTTTAAAACCTACATGAGAAAGCGGCACTAAGAGTCAAGATATATATATAATGATTTTTATTATTTTTTTTTGTAAGTATGGTGAGAGTCGAGGGACTCAGCAAGCACCTCAGAGGGAACAGTAGCCGGCTGAATGTAGGTTATTGTACACTATAGAACATCACGACCTCATATTGGTTGTTGATTTTGAAAATCTCATGTCAAATTCGTAATCAGTAAACCTTGAAATCCCAAGTTTATTTTTAATTCTATAACTTTTTATAAATTTGACCGCCATACAGAATCCGGCATTTTGGACTTCGAAAATCGAAATTTTCGTAATT